CCCCCTCTCCACCAGGTTGCTCCCCACAACCCTTGGGCACCTGGGTCACAAACCCCTCCAGCCTCTCTATGTGGACACTGATGTGCCCTGCGGCTGACTGCCAATGGTTGTCTTTTGCTATCAGACCCCACTCTCTTAAGGCCATCAGAGAATGAGGCCATAGTGGACAGAGAGGTAAAATGTCCGGGGAGGATGATGAACTCCGAGGGCAAGGAAGGATGAACATCTCCACCTGCCCAGATCTCATTCACCGTGCTCTAGTGTGTGCCATAGCTCCCTGGTGTGGCAGGTCTGGATTAGGTCATCTCTATGCTTCCTTCCAATGCTAACGTCTAGGATCACGATCCTGCCATGGTTCATACTAAGTAGGCTGGATTTGGCTTGTTGGTGGGGAAATGAAGTGGAAATGTCCAGGAGATTGTTTGAAATGTGGACGGAAGCTCTGAAGAGATTGACACTGGAGGTAGAATTTGAGAACCGGCCTCATTGAGATGTAAACGGCGGCCATGGGGGTAAATTAAGCCCTCATGGAAGAGAGTGCAGAGAGAAAAGAGTACCTCATACAGACTTTGGGGAATCACTTACATTCCAGGAACTAGAAGAAAAGGAAGAGAAGTCTGGAGACAGATCAGTCAGTATTAATAATGGCTCTGGGGTAAGGCGTGGCCAAACGGAAACCGAGAACTGATTGGGGAAACTGGGCCCCAAAACTGCAAACCTCAAATTCGACTTTTCCTCCTATCTCTTTAGCCACTCCCCTCATTTCTTTTGTGGATTTCTTTCCCTACACCTGTTGGCTCACATGTCATTATTTTCAAGCTGCTGTCCTAATTACAAATTTCCCAGATCCTCTAGTCCACTCCCTTGACTTCACGAGCCACCATGAGTTCACGTCCCCCAGACCGGCACCTGTTGTCCAGACCTTATGCTCCGATCGCTTGTTTCTCAAGCAACCTTTTGATTGGTTGTCTCACTTCCCTGGGAGCAGGGAAAAGTCCCCCGAATCCAAGCCTAAATCTTCTACGCACCTAGTCCTCTGTGTGATCCGTCAGTCCTTACTCTGGGAGGAACGCAGCCTGGCTCCTGCCGAGAAGACAAACCTCACCTAAGAACTTTGTAGCCTTGGAAGTTCCCTGTGCAGTGAGATAGGAGGGCCAACGTATCCCAGTTTGCTAAGGACTCTCCCAGTTTGGGTACCCAATGGCTGGCATCCCAAGAAGTGCCTCAGGTCCTGGCAAACCAGATGGGTGGTCACCCTACAGGGGGGCGTCCTTTGTGAGGTTGGCAAGGGCAAAGTCCTGGAAAAAGAGTGGCTGTATCTATCAAGAACCTACGTTTTGAACACTGGGGACATGGGATGGAGGGGCAAGTATGTTCTAGCTACGCCCTAGGTCCCTTAGGGCCTTTGCAGAGGTCTGCAGGAGCAGGTGGGGGCAATGAGGCAGAGAAATTTGGGTACAAGGTGAATGTAGCTTCATTAAACCCACAGGCTGGAAAGGCCCAGGGACGTTGGGGATGTATTTACATAGCCAAGATGAGACCACATACACCCCTTTTGTTCAGTGCCTTTGTATCTATGACTCTACAATATGTTCTCACAATTTAATGGCTGCAGAATGCTCCAACAAGAGGATTTTGCTGGTTTCAAATTTTTGCCGGCACTTCACAAACATCTTTGTGCTGACAGCTTCTTTTGCTGTATGTAAAATTCGTGTTGATTCGGCTCAGGTCATGATCTCACGGTTCATGAGTTCGAGCCCCGCATCAGGCTGGGCGCTGAACGCTCCCTCTTTCTCTGCCCCTCCCCGGCTTGCTCTCTCTCTTTCTGTCTCTCTCTCTCAAAAAAAAAAAAAAAAAA